AAGCAGTGCCGGGGCACTGCTTTGAACGAATGGTGATGTTCAAAGCAGTTCCCCGGCACTGTGTTCCATCGTCGCCGTTATAAGGGCTATTGGATTACGCGCGACCTTACGAAGGCGGCATACGCGCGAGTGCCCGCGCAATCGACCCCCTTGAAACCCTGCGGGGGGCAGTCCCACGAGCGTGGCCGAAGTGTGGCTGAGGCAACTCCACTCGCCTGAACCCTCCCGGGAGAAACGATCAGAAGGGGGGTTGCACTCGAATGCGCGACGACCTTGCGCGGTGGCTCACGCAGGCCGCTCGCGCGGCAGACCGCGTCACCGTAACAGCGCCTACGCGCGACCTTACGAGGGCGGCATGCGCGCGAGTGCCCGCGCAATCGACCCCCTTGAAACCCTGCGGGGGGCAGTCCCACGAGCGTGGCCGAGATGTGGCTGAGGCAATTCCACTCGCCTGACCCCCCAGGGAGACGATCAGAAGGGGGGTTGCACTCGATGGCGCGACGACCTTGCGCGGTGGATCACGCAAGCCGCTCGCGCGGCAGACAGCATTAAGGCGCCTACGCGCCACCTTCCGCGGGCAGCTTACGCACAAGTGCACGCGCAATCGACCCCCCTGAAACCCTGCGGGTGCGCCCTCCCGCGGGCGCTTTGAAATGTGTCGCCCGGTTGCGGTTGCGGTTGCGCCCTCCCGCGGGCGGGTTGAAATTTGTCGCCCGGTCGCGGTTGCGGTTGCGCCTGCGGGCGCTTTGAAATGCGTCGCCTGGTTGCGGTTGCGGTTGCGGTTGCGCCCTCCCGCGGGCGGGGTGAAATGCGTCGCCCGGTTGCGGTTGCGGTTGCGCCCGCGGGCGCTTTGAAATGTGTCGCCCGGTTGCGGTTGCGGTTGCGCCCTCCCGCGGGCGGGTTGAAATTTGTCGCCCGGTCGCGGTTGCAGTTGCGGTTGCGCGCTCCCGCGGGCGCTTTGAAATGTGTCGCCCGGTTGCGGTTGCGAATGCGCGCCCGCGGGCGTTTTGAAATGTGTCGCCCGGTTGCGGTTGCGGTTGCAGTTGCGCGCTCCCGCGGGCGCTTTGAAATGCGTCGCCCGGTTGGGTTGCGGTTGCGCGCCCGCGGGCGCTTTGAATTGTCGCTGTGCGGTTGCGGTTTGCGGTTGCGCGCTCCCGGGCGGTTTTGAAATGTGTCCGCCCGATGCGGTTGGCGGTTGCGCGACCCGCGGGCGGTATGAAATGGAGTTCGCCCCGTGCGGTTTGCGTTGCGCGCCCCGCGGGCGTTTTTGAAAATGAGTCCCCGTTTTGCGGTTGCGGTTGCGCGCCCGTGGCGCTTTGAAATGTGTCGCCCGGTTGTGTTTGCGGGTGCGCCCTCCCGCGGGCGCTTTGAAATGTGTCGCCCGGTTGCGGTTGCGGTTGCGCCCGCGGGCGCTCTGAAATGTGTCGCCCGGTTGCGGTTGCGGTTGCGGTTGCGCCCTCCCGCGGGCGGGTTGAAATTTGTCGCCCCGTCGCCGTTGCGGTTGCGCCCGCGCGCGCTTTGAAATGTGTCGCCCCGGTTACGGTTGCGCGCTCCCGCGGGCGCTTTGAAATGCGTCGCCCGGTTGCGGTTGCGGTTGCGCGCCCGCGGGCGCTTTGAAATGTGTCGCACGGTTGTGGTTGCAGTTGCGGTTGCGCGCCCCGTGCGTTTTGAAATGTCGCCCAGTGCGGTTGCCGGTGCGGTGCGCGCTCCCGCGGGCGTTTGAAATGTGTTGAAATGTGTCGCCCGATTGCGGTTGCGGTTGCGCGCGCGGTCGCGTTGCAATGTGTCGCCCAGTTGCGGTTGCGGTTGCGTTTGCGCGTCTCCCAGCGGCGCTTTGAAATGTGTCGCCCGATTGCGGTTGCGGTTGCGCGCCCGCGGGCGCTTGAAATTGTCGACCCGGTTGCGGTTGCGGTTGCGGTTGCGCGCTCCCGCGGGCGCTTTGACATGTAGCGCCCGGTTGCGGTTGCGGTTGCGGTTGCGCGCTCCCGCGGGCGCTTTGAAATGTGTCGCCCGGTTGCGGTTGCGGTTGCGCGCCCGCGGGCACTTTGAAATGTGTCGCCCGGTTGCGGTTGCGGTTGCGGTTGCGCGCTCCCGCGGGCGCTTTGAAATGTGTCGCCCGGTTGCGGTTGCGGTTGCGCGCTCCCGCGGGCGCTTTGAAATGTGTCGCCCGGTTGCGGTTGCGGTTGCGGTTGCGCGTTCCCGCGGGCGCTTTGAAATGTGTCGCCCGGTTGGGTTGCGGTTGCGCGTCTGCGGGCGCTTTGAAATGTGTCGCCCGGTTGCGGTTGCGGTTGCGGTTGCGCGCTCCCGCGGGCGCTTTGAAATGCGTCGCCTGGATGCGGTTGTTGGGTTGCGGTTGCGCGCCCGCAGGCGTTTTGAAATGCGTCGCCCGGTTGCGGTTCCGGTTGCGGTTGCGCGCCCCCGCGGGCGCTTTGAAATGTGTCGCCCGGTTGCGGTTGCGGTTGCGCGCCCGCGGGCGCTTTGAAATGTGTCGCCCGGGAAATGTGTCGCCCAGTTGCGGTTGCGGTTGCGGTTGCGCGCTCCCGCGGGCGTTTTGAAATGTGTCGCCCGGTTGCGGTTGTTGGGTTGCGGTTGCGCGCCCGCGGGCGCTTTCAAATGTGTCGCCCGGTTGCGGTTGCGGTTGCGGTTGCGCGCTCCCGCGGGCGCTTTGAAATGTGTCGCCCAGTTGCGGTTGCGGTTGCGGTTGCGCGCTCCCGCGGGCGCTTTGAAACGTGTCGCCCGGTCGCGGTTGCGGTTGCGCCGCCGGGTTGCGCTCCCGCGGGCGGTTTGAAATGTGTCTCCCGAGCTGTCCCCTGACGTTCAGTCAGTCATCAGTCAGCCGGCGGGCACGGAATTTCACCCGGCTCCGCCGGGAACAATGTGTAAACTCTGGCCTCGCATTGTTGGGCGCTTCTGAAAGGCTCTCGTCGCCACGACGGGTTGCGACTCGAGAGTCTTGCCATGGCAGGCCTCCAGACGGGGTCCACGGGACAGATGTTACATCCCCCCAATCCTCTTGGCCATTCTCTTCCTCGGACACCTCCTCCTCGTCCTCGTCCTCCTCGTCCTCGTCCTCCTCGCCCCCCTTGTTCTTCTCGTCCTCGTCGTCGTGATCTTCGTCGTCCTCGTCGTCCTCCTGGTCCTCATTGGCCTCGTCCTCGTCCTGGTCTTCGGCCTCCTCCTCACTTCTTGTCCTCGAGGGTATGGGTCTGTGTTTTTGCGTCTGCCCCTCGCTCGCTGACCTCGAGCCAGGCCGGTGTGCGTGTTGGATCGAGCCGCCAGCTGTGCTGAGCGCTGGTCGAATTATGGCAGAAACGCGCCGCGCCGACGCGGCGGCGACGCCTGCGCGGGCGCTCAAGGCTGAAAAACCACCAGCGGCCTGAACCCCACTCCACACGATCTCCGTTGTTGGATCAACTGGCGCATATCGTTCGAGATTGTACGATATGCGCGGTGTCAGACAGAAAATGACCTCCTCGTCGATGCGACATGAACGACCTGCATTGTATCTAGGCCGAGGGCCTGGCGTCGTTGGACGGTTCCGCGCAGCACGCGCCCGCGGGCTTGGCACTTGCCCGACAGCTCTGCGCCACCCGCTCTGACAGCAGCGGTCCAGGCCTGTTCGCTGGCCATGCCTAGCCCAGCGGTGGCCGCCCGGCGCGCCACAGGGGTCCGGCAGGATCGCCCGCCTGCGTTCCGCGGGGGCTGTGCTCGGCGGTGGTGGGGGCTGGCGTAGTGGCCGTGCGCCGGCTGGGCGGCGGCGCTGCCACCCCGCGCGGCGGAGCTGTTGCTGCTTCTGCTGCTGTTTCTGCTGCTGCTTCTGCTGCTGCTGTTGTTGCTGCTGCTGATGCTGCTGCTGCTGCTGCTGGCAGTCCTCGCCCGTTGCGCGGGAACAGCGATTGGAGGGCGGCGCTGCGCGGGCGGCTCGCCGCGCGCGCCAGAATCGCCTCGGGCGCGGGTGCGGGCCGCGCGCCCGCCGCCTCCTCGCTTCGCCGCAGGGCAGTCTTCGCGCTGGTCAAAACGAAAGTGCTGCCTCCCTCCCCTCTGATGGCAGCCCGCCTCCTGTGCACGGCGGGTCTGGACTTCAGCTAGGCGCAGGAGCTGTTGGCCCTCGGCAGCGCCCTGCGCCACCTGCCGCCGCTTGCCGCGGCAGGCGGGCGGGCTGGCGCCGCCGCCTGTGGGCGTGAGTGCAGCTGCGCCAGAGGTGCTGCTGGCGACGCGCAGCTTCGCTCTCCGCGCCCTGGGCACCTGGGACTGGTGCGGCGGCGCGAAGATGCACAGGGGAGCGAGGCCCCAATGGCAGGCGGACGGCAGCTTGGAGGACGACTGCAAGCGCTGGGCGGAGGAGCCCCGCGAGTGCGTCTCCGAGGACGGGGGCGTCGATGACATCTCCAGAGGGGTGTCGGTGATATGGCGTGCACCAGTTGTCGAGGCCGCTGCTGCAGGCGATCTCGGGCCTCAGCCGACCGTCCACGTGGTGCGGGAGGCCAAGGCCCTGGAGCGCTTTGCCGCGCAGCATGCTTGGAGCTTTGGCGTCGCAGGGGCCGAGACGGAAGAGGTCGGGTCTCAGCCGGCACTTCCCAGCAGTGGGTGGTGCGGCGCCGTGGCCAGTCGCCCCCCCGGCGTGCGGAGCGTGGCGGCGGCGCCGTGCTAAGTGCTGGGGAGCTTGCTGGCGAGGGCGGCGTGGGCTCGGGACCCCTCGGCCGTCTGCCCCTCTCCACCCCCGTGCGCCGCGTGGCTGGGTTGCTGTTTTTCGCTTGCACAGCTGGGCTCAGCTTGCTTCGTAACGCTGCGCTGGCGGTTCCTGTGGACGGCGGCGCACCTGGTGAGCGAGGGAGGAGGAAAGATACTTCGGCAGCATGCTGAACAGGGGGAGGAGGAGGAGGAGGAGGAGGAGGAGGAGGAGGAGGAGGAGGAGGAGGAGGAGGAGGAGGAGGAGGAAGAGGAGGAGGAGGCTCACTTCTCCCCTTCCCCTTGCCATTCAGCGGCGGCGAGCCGCCCAGGCGGCGACCGCAGGCGCGACTACAGGTCCGAATGGGGCCCGGCCAGCCGCCCAGCTCTCCGCGGCCGCCCAGACGTCTTGCGAGTGCCGGGCTCTGGCGGCCACGAGCGGCCTCGACGGTGCTCGGTGGCTTCCCGTGGCCGTCGGCGGCCTTCGGTGGTCCTCGAGATGGGGGGGGAGGCGCAGGAGCGGAGGCAAGGGAGAGGTGGAGCGAGGGAGGGAGGGAGGCAGGATGAGGAGGAGGTGGCCCAGTGCAAATCCACGGCGCATCAACGCTGTTGCAAGAGACCATCCCTCCCCTCCACGGTCCCTCTTCATAGGTCCATACAAGGAAGTGCCTTCATTGCGGGAAGTGCCCCATTGAAAGACGACCGGCTGACAGTCCTAACCCGCACGCGCCAGAGCACCATTCTCTGGACTGCAACACCAGGAATCAACGTGACTAGTGCGTCGTTCCAGAACGTCGTTCCTGGGACTTCGACCCTACAAACCATTGCGACTGTTGCAAACGTTTGATACGAATACTCGCGGCGCACAGGGGAGTGCCACATCTTGAAAAAGACACGCCCCCCGTCTTGAAACTATTGCATTGTTTAAAATGAGTGCGCGCAGCGCTAAGGCGAGAGTCACATTGTGGAATATGCCCCCCCCCACCCCTGAGACTGTAGCAACAGTATGAAGCGAATGCGCAGGACGCCGAGGCGGGAGAAACATTTTGCAAAGGTCCCGCCCCCCTTCCTTGACACTGCTGCAACATTTTAGACTTAGACGAATGCGCGCGGCGCTAAGGCGAGAACCATATTTTGAAATATACCCGCCTCTCTATCCTTGAAACTCTTGCAACAGTTCGAGACAAATATGCGCGGCGAAAATTCGAGAGCGACAGTTTGAAAATGCCCCCCCTCCTAGACACCGCTGCAACCTTTTCAGACGAATGTGCGCGGCGCTAAGGCGAGAGCCACATCTTGAAAACGACCCGCCATCCAAGCAGTCAGCAGTTACCTCCTGTCACAAAGGGATCACAACAGAGTTATCACGAGTAGGTTGCACTCCATCGTTGAAGCTGCTGCACATCTCAGGTTCCAGGATCGCATGTAGTGAGCACGTCTAAAGCGAAACGCCCGGCCCGCCCTGCCGACACGCTTGGGGGTGCAATAGGGAGGAGCTGCTTTATGAGGAAAAGGGATGGAGGAGTAGGAGGGTGAGTGTGAGGAGGAGGAAGAGGAGGAACTAGGAGGGCGGAAGGGCAGGGTGAAAGTGAAGGGTGAGGAGGAAAGAGGAGGAGAGGGAGAAGGATGAGGGAGGATCCTTAATGGTTTGCCGACTTTCCGTCAATCGACTCGCGGGGACCAAGGCGTATTAATCGAGGGGAATCCATGGAGGAAAGATGCACTTAGGGGCCTCGTGTGCATAACGTGGGGCTCTCTGCGGGCACCCTTTGGAGCCTCGGGGCCCATTTTGGAGCCATTTTGTAGGAGATCGGTCATAGGAGGGGGGCTCCTTAGGGCCCCCTCCCCAGGGGGCCCACATGCGTGCCCCTTACTTGGGGGCGACATTTGGGTGACATCCATGATGTGGGCTTCCTCGCCGAGCCCATCTTGGACGCTCCAACCACTCGCATAAGGCCCCGTCCATGCCCAGGGGTAGGGGGTAGGGGGAGGGGTCAAGAGTCTCCCTCCCCGCCCGCAAGCCGTCTCGCTCACTCCCACCCGCCCTCCCAGCACATACGTAGCACCGGAGCATGGCCCGAGCCGCAGCATATGCAGCAGTCGTCTGCCGCGCCGCCGCCGCCGCCGCCCGCCGCCGCCGCTGCCGCGCCGCCGTCGCCGCCGCCGCCGCTCTCCACCGCCGCCGCCGCCGCCACCGCGCCGCCCGCCGCCGCCGCCGCCGCCGCCGCCACCCCCGCTGCCGAATCGCCGCCGCCGCAGCCGCTGCCGCCGCAGTCGCTGCCGCCACCGCTGCCGCCGCCGCCGCCGCCGCCGCCCTCGCCGCCGCCGCCGCCGCCGCCACCGCAGCAGAAGCCGCAGCCGCTGCCCCCGCCGCAGCCGCCGCCGCCGCCACCGCCGCAGAAGCCTCAGCCGCTGCCCCCGCCGCAGCCGCCGCCGCCGCCGCCGCCAAGTGTACTCTGTATTGTTTTTGACAGGGATGGTGGGAGGAGGCTGCATCGGGTTCGCGGTGCATGCTTCGAATTTTGAGGCAGAGTGTGTTTTGTACTGTTTTTTACAAGGGATGGTGGGGGCAGTGTGTGTTTTGTATTGTTTTTTAGCAGGGATGGTGCGGGGGGCGCATTGACCTGGGTTGGTTCCCAGTCGCCTGGGGGAGGGGGTGTTTTTCAATAGGGAACAGTGATAAACCTGTCCCCGAAGGGGAAGAAGGGGGGCTGGAAGAGGAAGCGCTCTAGACCACTCACGCCCCAAAGGGCAAGTGAGATCAAAGGATCTATTGATTGATTGGTGTTCCTATTGTAATTCATTGACCTGTTCATGTGCATGTTGGCCGGTCCAGGGGTACATCGGCACAGACACATATGTGTATGTATATATACATATATATATATATGTATATATGTATATATGTGTATGTTTCTATTCATATCTTTTTATACGGCCAGGGACCCCTGGAAAGGCCCACTACCCCGCCCACCCCCCCCGCACCCCGAGCGAATTTTGGACTTCGGGCTGGCCAGACGCCCTCCCTGGCACCGGGGTGCGGTCTTGCAGTCCCTGCCAAGGCGTGCACACAGGCGGGTGGCAGTCCCAAGACGGTCTTCGCAAGGCCCATGAGACGCCCAAGGCGGTCGAAGACGGTTTCACGTTGCCCTTGACCCCCGCAAGACGCCCGAAGACGGCTCGAATGTCACCTCCAAGAGGCGGTCAACCCTACAAATATTATATATCCATATACATATACAGACATTGATTTTGCATTTTTTCGTTTGATGTTCGGATGCTCGCTCACTCGGGCCTGCAAGCGTCCGAGAACGCTGGGAAGGTACCGGAAAGAACTCCAAGACGAGCCAAAAGCGCTTCTTGTCACCCCAACACGGTCACATGAGGGCCCAAGACGGCCCCCAAATTGCCCACAGGCGGCCCCATGATTGGCCCAAAATGATTGCAAACAACCGGCACAAGGCCCAAGAGACTCCCCAAATGATCGAAGATGACATCAAGCGGCCCAGACCCCCGCTGGACGCCCGCCCACGGCCCGAATGTCATTTGGAAGAGGCGCTTGAAACTTGGAAAAACATTGATTGTTGAGTGTTTTCTTTAAAGTTCGGATGCTCGCTCATTCAAGCTTCCAAGCGTCCGAGATCGCTGGAAAAAACACCGCAGACCGCTCCAAGAGAAGCCAGACGGGCTTCCTGACAGCTCAAGAGGGCCCCATGAGAGCCCAAGACGGGCCCCAAGCTGCCCACGGGCGGCCTCACCACGGCTCCAAATTGTCTTCAAGACAACTTCCCCAACAATGCAAGTCGTGATCTGGAACCACGAGTCCCTGTATGGTGGCTCGAGGGCCTCCCCACTGGTCGCCGAAAGGCGCCACGGCCGCCTCCAGAGGCTCCCAAGTAGCCCTAGCAACGCTTCCGCGAAGCTCCCCAGAGATTCGCCATGAAGGAGCTTCCGCGAACGAATCAGAAGAGGACGAAGAAGCTTTCGTGTGCCAATTCACTCGAGAATGAGGAAGAGAAAATGGACGAAGACAGAAATAAGGAAAGGAACAAGAATAACAATGTAACCACGGTGATGGCGGCATCGGCCACCAGAAACGATTTCTGTCTTGATCGGCTTACCTCTCTTAGTATGCCTGCACCGTCCACTTATCGGACCAAGGTGCATGGCGCGAAGCGCCAATGCAGTCTTGTATGTAGAGTTATAATGCTATGAAGTGTATATGAGGAGAGCTAGCTAGGGATATGTTATATGTATATGCCGAGAGAGACTGAAACGGAGAAAGCGAGAGAGAGAGAGAGAGCGAGAGCAAGAGCGAGAGAGAGCGAGAGAGACCAACCATCCACCCCTGTCTAGTTCCTCACCCGAGCGTGTGTGTGGAAGTTGAGAGGGTAACCGCTGCTCCCTCCCAATGCCCACCCTGTGTTGCGTGTGTGTGTATGTGTGTGTGGAAGCGTATGTAAGAGTGTAAGGGAGCAGTCGCTTCCCCCTCGAACAAGATAGCACTCACTTCCCCAGTCCCAGTTCGCTCTCTGCGTTGTGTGCATGGAGGGAAAGAGAGACTCTCGAAACCCATTGCGTGTTGCATGTAAAATGACAAAGGGATATAGAAAGAGAGCTAGAGAGAGAGAGAGAGAGAACAAACACTGCCCTCACCATTTCCCCAATCCGTTGTGTGTTTGCATAGTGCGAGCGCGAGAAAGAGAGAGAGAGAGAGAGAGACTGAGAGACAGAGAGAGAGAGAGAGAGCAACCGCTACCCCCCCCCACTTGGTGGCGAGCTAGACGGGACGAGGAGGAGCCTGCAGAATAAAGGAATTACGCAGAACAGAAAATTGCGACATGCCAAACAAATTACATCTCACCGATAGAAAGGCGAAGGATCGACACAGAGAGGGATGAGAAAACGAGATCGAGAGAGAGAGAGAGAGGGACGGCTGGTTTCTATCATTACCGTTATCATCGTTATCGTCATCGCAGTCGTTATCACGTTCAGCGGTGCCATCGGCATCATCGTCATAATCATCGTTGTCCTCATCACCGTTAGCATCACCAGCACGATGCGGTAGAACACGTCATAAGTTGTTCTTTTGCAGACAAGCATTCGGCAATGCCGACAACACACAGTCAGCTTGTTCAGGGCCACATTGTTGTAAACATTCGTGCGTTGTCAGTCAAGTGTCTTGTTTGCTTGAAGCGCTCTCGTGCCTTGAAGGCTCGCTTGCTTGGGTAAGTTTTTGCCCGAGGTTTGCCGGAAAGCCGCGGGATTGGGTCCCGGTGTCGAAATTGAGTCGCTTGTTGGAATCATGCTTTGGTTTTCTGTTGAGGTCGTGCCTTGGGGCCGAAGGAGGCCATCATTCAAGCGTCCAATTGTGTGATCCCTCGCTCACCCTCATGGTGTATCGAGGTGTGCTGTTTTGCTCCTCCTGTGGAAATTGTTGTGTGAAGGCCGCCCTGGTACCGTCTTGGAAGCGGGCTTTATGCACACGAAGCGCTTTGTGCAGGGTGGCGCGATCGACCGAAGGGCATGTGGGACAATTTTGGATCGGACAAGAAAGTTTCACATCTGGGGCGTCATGCACCCGTAAATCACAGGATGCGGCGGATGGAGTGTTTCGGCCCATCTTGCCACCGTGCCCAGGTTGTAGATCGGAGGGATCGTAAATACCTCTTGGAGAGCTTATTGTGGGCCCCTTGGACTCCTGGAGGCATTTTGAGGGCCTCCTGAGGTCTTCTGGAGGTCTCCTGGGGGCCTCTTGGGCGCTTCTGGGGTCCTCTTGGGGGCCTTCTAGCGGTTTCGTTGGCCATGTGCGAGGGGGAGGGACATCCAGTGCCTTGTCGACTCCCCCCCTTGGGTCCTTCCTGGGCCCTTCTTTGGCCCCTCTTTGAGGCCGCGAGGGCCTTCTTGGGCGGATCTGGCCTCTTAACCCGTCGTGGAAACTCGAAGTAGCGGAGTTGTGATAATTATTCGACGATCTGCAATTTCCAATAATCCTTGTGATCCCTGGCTGCTGTGGGCCTGGCCACCCGAACAGAGTCCTCAAGAGGGATCCAAGATGGCCCTATTTTGCCATCCCAGGGCAAGATGTAGGCTTGGATTCTCAGCGGCGCATCCAGGGCATCGGGGATGTCACGCCCCAAGCCCACAGAGCGCTTCGGAATCCTGGAAATCGAGGCCTAGGTCCTTCAAATGGTCACACATGTTCGACACTCAACACCAAGAGCCCGAATGGGCCCGAGAGCACTCCACTCGGTGCCTGCGGCAAGGTAGCGGATCATGATTCCCGCTGTTGTTTCCAGACGTCGTCGGGGCAGCATTTGGACACCTTTCGGACAGCGCGCCCACCGTTCGCTGCAGCAGCAGACGCAGGACTGTCTGCCCTCGGTCCGCCACGCCAGCCTCCTCTTGACGCTGGTTCTTTTCCTCTCCGCCTCATCCTGCCCCCTCCTCCTCGTCCCTCCTCGTCCCTCCTCCTCCGCCTACTCCTCCTCCTCCTCCTTCTCCTCCTCCTCTTGTCTTGTTCTCCTCCCAGCGCCAAGGCCGCCTGTGGCAAAGGCGTGGGCGTCAAGGGCGCCGCTGCCGCGGCGGCAAGCCACGTGCCTGGCCCCATCCCCATGGGCAGCGCCGCTCGCATGGGAGGCCGGACCCTGGAGATTGCCAAGCGCCGCGTCGTCGAAAAAATAGTTAGCCCAGCGAAGGACCTGGGCTTTTCCTCGGGACGATCGAAATCGGTACGGAAAGAATGGGTACGATGCCCAACAGCAGTTCTTCTTCAATTTGAACAGGAATCGAAGTTCGCGCCGCCGCGGATGCTGTTCTTTGAAGACACGAAGCCGCCTGTCCAACAGCGGCCGCTGACGGTTTTGGACGACATTTGTTAATAGGCATTGTACCCATTTTTCCGTACCCAGTTCGGAGGTCCAAATACCCAGCTACGTGCAGAGCAGGGGTTGGCCTTCTCACCACTAGTCGCTGACCGCCAGGGGGGGAGCGATCGCGCGAATCGATTTGTATGCGGGCGCGCCCACTGTGGCCGCAGTTGGAGCTCCCCAGTGGGGCACGATCCGTACGATAGGGAGCGAATGTGGGCGCGCCGGTTGGATTAGTAGTTGGAGTTTCCGGTTGGTTTTCGGTGGTGCTCTTTATTGGGCCACGAACCGTGTAAGTGGTGCCCCAACATGGGGGTGGAATTGCATGCGGGCGCTGCCACTAGGGCCTTCGGTGGAGCTCCTTAGTGGAACTGATTGCGGGCGCTGGCACTGGGGCCTTCGGTGGCGCTCCCGATGGGGCCGCTAGCCGTGTAAGGGGAGCGCCAAGATGGGGTTGGAACGGCATGCTGGCGCTGCCACTGGGACCTTCGGTGGAGCTTCCTATGGGTCCACGAACCGTGTAAAGGATGCGCCGAGATGGGGGGTGGAACTGCACGCAGGCGCGGCCACTGGGGCCTTCGGTGGAACTCCCTATGGGGCCACAAACCGTGTGAGTGCTGCGCCAAGATGAGGGTGGAACTGCATGCGGGCGTTGCCACTGGGGCCCTCGGAGGAGCTCCCCATGGGGCCACGGACAGTGTGAAGGGTGCGCCGAGATGAGGGCGGCAAGGCATGCTGACGCTACTACTGGGGCCTGCCGTGCAGCTCCCCATGGTGCCACGAACCGTGTGAGGGATGCGCAAGCATGGGGGTGGAACGGTATGCGGGCGCTGCCACCGGGGCCTTCAGTGGAGTTCCCCATGAGGCCACGCACCGTGTGAAGGGTGGGCCGAACTGGGGGGTGGAACTGCATGCGAACTTTCCCACTGTTGCCTGCGGTGGCGCTCCCTATGGGGCCATGAAACGTGTGAGGGGTACGCCGACATGGGGGTGGAACTGCACGCGAACTATCACATTGGGGACTGCGGTGGGGCTCCCCATGGGGCCACGAACCGTGTGAGGGGTATGCCGAAATTGGGTGTGGAACTGCACGCGAACCTTGCCACTGGGGCCTTCGGTGGGGCTCCCTATGGGGCCACGAACCGTGTGAGGGATGCGCCGAAATGGTGGGGGAATTGCATGCAAACTTTCCTATTGGAGCCATCGGTGGGGCTCCCCATGGGGCCATGAGCCGTGTGAAGGGTACGCCGAAATGGGTGGTGGAACCGCATGCGAACTTTCCCACTGGTGCCTTCGGTGGAGCTCCCTGTGGGTTTACGAACCGCGTGTGAGGGGTGTGCCGCAATGGGGCGGTGGTACCATTCAAATTTTCCCACTGGAGCCTTCGGTGGAGCTCCCTATGTGGCCACGAAGCGTGTGAGGTGTGTGCCATGATGGTGATGACGACGATGATGATGATGACAATGGAGACGATACTGGCGATGATGATGCTGATGACGATGGCGACGACGATGATGATGATACTGCTGATGATGATGATGGTGACGATGCTGCTGGTGATGAGGACGCCGACGATGATGATGATGATGATGATGATGATGATGATGATGATGATGTTGATGCTGATGTTGATGGTGATGATGATGATGCTGATGTTGCGGATGAAGATGATACTGTTGATGCTGGTTATGATGATGATGATGAGGTTGATGATAACGATGATGTTGATAGTGATGATTATGATGATGATGATGATGATGACGACGATTATGATCATGCTGATCATGATGACTATGATGGCGATGGGTATGGTGATGATAATGATGATGGTGAAGATGATGACGATGCCGATGCTGATGTTGTTGGTGATGGTGATGCTGATGTTGCTGTTGCTGTTGCTGATGGTGAACTGTTGCCGATGCTGCTAATGATGATGGGGATGGGGATGGTGTTGATGATGATGGTGATGATGATGAGGATGAGGATGAGGATGAGGATGAGGATGAGGATGGTGGTGCTGATGATGATGATGCTGATGATGATGGTGAGGATGATGATGCTGAGGATAATGATGATGATGGTGATGGTGATTGTGATGACGATGACGATGATGATGCTGCTTATGCTGATGCTGATGATGATGATGATGCTGGTGATGATGGTGATGGTGATGGTGATGGTGATGGTGATGGTGATGGTGATGATGATGATGATGATGATGATGATGATGATGATGATGATGATGATGATTATGCTGAACATGGCGACAATGCGGGCTGAGGCAAGGAGAGGGATGAGGGAGGAGGGGGAGGCGGAGGAGAGAAGAGGAGACGTGAGAGGAGACGCGGGGCTTTGTCGTTTCAAAACGAGGGCCCTCGCCACAGGATGGTTGGGGATCAAGTACAGAATAGCTTGGCTAAGGACTCAACCATAGGCAGTTGTGGGCACCGTCGTTGTATGCACCGCATTCGGTGGAGCTCCACGTGGGGCCACGAAGCGTGTGAGGGGAGCGCTGGCATGTGGCCCCCCGGTGGAGCTCCCGATGGGGCCAGGAAGCGTGTGAGGGGTGTGCCAAAATGGGTGCGGCGGCCGCCTTCGAGCTCAGGCATCTGGGCCTCCGGTGGAGCTGCGTATGAGGCCATGAAGCGTGCGAGGGGTGTGCCCAAATGGGCGCGGCGGGCGCATGCGAGCGCTGGTATCTGGGCCTTCGGTGGAGCTCCCGATGGGGCCAGGAAGCGTGTGAGGGGTGTGCCAAAATGGGTGCGGCGGCCGCATGCGACCGCTGGCATGTGGGCCTTCGGTGGGGCTCCCGATGAGGCCACGCAGCGTGTGAAGGGTGTGCCTAAATGGGTGCGGCGGGCGCATGCGAGCGCTGGTATTTTGGCCTTCGGTGCCTATGGGGCCACGAATCGTGTGAGGGGTTCGGCAAAATGGATACGGCGGCCGCACGCGAGCGCTGGCATGTGGGCCTTCTGTGGAGCTCCCTACGGGGCCACGAAGCGTGCGAGGGGTGTACCAACATGGGTGAGGCGGCCGCATGAGCACTGGCACCTAGGCCTTCGGTGGAGCTCCTTATGGGACCATGAAGCGTGTGAGGGGAGTGCCAGAATTGGATACGGCGGACGCATGCGAGCGCTGCCATCTGGGCCTTTGGTGGAGCTCCCCATTGGGCCACGAAACGTGTGAGGGGTGTGCCACAACGGGTGCGATGGTCGCATGCGAGCGCTATCACGTGGGCCTTCGGTGGAGCTCCCGATGGGGCCAGGAAGCGTGTGAGGGGTGTACCAACATTGGTGCGGCGGCCGCATGCGACCGCTGGCATGTGGGCCTTCGGTGGGGCTCCCCATGGGGCCACGAAACGTGGGACGGGTGTGCCAAAATGGGCGCGATGGGCGCATGCGAGCGCTAGCACCTGGGCCTTCGGTGAAGCCCCCTATGGGGCCATAGACCGTGAGAGGGGTACGCCGACATGGGGGGGGAGCCGCATGCGAAACTTGCCAGTTGTTGAAAGAACGCGCTATCCTGTCAGCCCCGAAGCCACGCTCTCGTTTGATGTCTCTCTTCCTTCATATTCTCCCCTCTCTCGTTTCATGAGGTTCGTATTGGACTGATGTATATATATATATATGTATTTGCCTGTGTCCTCTATTTGCTATTTTGTATTGCTCACCTCGTATCATCTCTCGCTTGCTGCACGCTTTGTTTCGAGTCGACTTGAGAGATTATGGATTCTGGCGCGAGAGCCCAGGAAATAAGAGAGCCGCTTCCCTGGGGCTGACGCCCTGGCCGCCATATCCCGCTGCGGAGCCAGGGGCGACGCGGCGCTCTCTCTCCCTTCGGTTCCGCACCAGTGGGGCCTCCGGCGGAGCCCCTTATGGGGCCACGACACGTGTAAGGGGTGCGCCGAACTGAGGGGTGGAACCGCACGCGAGCCTTGCCACTGGGGCCTTCGGTGGAGCTCCCCACGCGGCCACGACACGTGTGAGTGGTGCACCGAAATTGCGGGTGGAACCGCATGCGAACCTTGCCACTGGGGGCTTCGGTGGAGCTCCTTGTGGAGCCACGGAACGTGTGAGAGGTGCGCCGAAATTATGGCGGAACTCCATGCGAACCCTGCCACAGGGGCCTTCGGTGGAGCTCCCTAAAGGCCACGAAACATGTGAGGGGTGCGCCGAATTCATGGCGGAACTGCATGCGAACCCTGCCACTGAGGCCTTCGGAGGGGCACCTTGCAGGGCCACGAACCGCGTGATGGGTGGGCCGGAACGGGGATGGAATTGCATGCGAACTTTCTCTCTGGGGCCATCGGTGGGGCTGTCCATCGGGCCACGAACCGTGTGAGGGGTGCGCCGAAATTGGGGGTGGAATTGCATTCGAACTTTCCAAATGTGCCTTCGGTGGAGCTCCCTATAGGGCCACGAACGGTGAGTGGTGTGCCGAAATGGGGGGTGGAACCGCATGCGAACTTTTCCATTGAGGTCTTCGGTGGGGCTCCCTAGGGGGCCACGAACCGTGTGAGGGGTGAGCCGCAATAAGGCGGTGGTGGCATGCAGACTTTCCCATTGGGGCCTTCGGCGGGGCCCCCTATGGAGCCACGAAACTTGTGAGGGGTGTGCTATAGTGATGGCGATGATGATGCTAATGGTTATGATGATGATGGCGGTGATGATTCGGATAATGAATATAACGTTGATGATGATGACGATGATGCTGATGATGATGTTGATGATGGTGATGATGATGTTGATGTTGGTGGTGATGGTGGTGGTGGTGATGCTGATTCTGATGATATTGATGGTGGTGGTGATGATGGTGCTGCTGGTGATGATGCTGATGATGACGATGATGATGGTCACGATGGCGAAGACGACGATGATGATGTTGATGTTGATAATGCTGATGCTGTTGAATACAAGGATGACGACGGCGACGACCATGATGTTGATGATGATGGTGACGATGATGATGGCGATGACGACTGAGGACGATGATGGCAATGATGGCGATGATGGTGATGATGATGATGCTGATGATGAGTATGCGTATGATGATCATGAAGATGATGACGATGAGGCGAATGATGAGTATGATGATGATTACGTTGGTGATGATCACGATTACGATCACGATGCTGCTGCTGATGGAATTGGTGTTGATGGTGATACTGATGCTGATGAGGATGAGGATGAGGATGAGGATGCGGAGGCTGATGATGCGGACTACGCTGATGATGACGATGATGCGGGTAATGATGCTGCTGATGAAGTTGATGATGCTGATGCTGCTGATGCTGCTAATGATGATTATGATGGTGATGATGACGACGATGATGTTGATGATGATGACTTCGCTGATGATGATGATGATGATGATGGTGGTGGTAATGATTATGATGATGATGCTGAGGTTGATGCTGATGACGTTGCTGATGATGATGCTGCTTATGCTGATGCTGCCTCTGCTGGTTATGATGAGTATGCTGATTATGATGATGATGACGACGATGATGACGATGATGACGATGATGACGATGATGAGGATGAGGATGAGGATGATGATGATGATGATGATGATGATGATGATGATGATGATGATGATGACGACGACGACGACGATGATGATGATGATGATGATGATGATGATGATGATGATGATGATGATGATGATGATGATGATGATGATGATGATGATGTTGATGGTATGCTGATGGTATGATGATGCTGCTGATGATGCTGATGATGATGACGATGATGGTGATGCTGATGATGATGCTGATGATGATGCTGATGATGATGATGATGGTGAAGATCTTGGCGACAAGGAGAGCAGAGACAAGGATAGGGAGCAGGAAGGAGGGGGAGGAGAGGAGAGGGGAGGAGAGGAGAGTGGAGACGCGGGGCGCTGTCTTCAAAACGAGGGCCCAGCCCCACAGGATGGTTGGGACAACAATGAAAGGGAATCAATGTGGGGCCCTCTGGGGGTCCTCTTGGAGTGCTTATGGGGCCTATTGGAAACTATTGGTCCGTCTTGGGGCCATCTTGGGCGTCTAGGAGCTCTCTTGGGCCGCCTTGGCGGCCTTGGCGGCGTTGCAGCCCCCCCCCCCATCCCCCCTTCCCCGGCCCGGGTCTAGCCGCCCCCACTCCCTTTCTTCTGCGGCGCGAGGCAGCGGTCCCGGAAATGGTAGAACCCCCCCCCCCAGCCTTCCCCGGCGGCCCCTCCGATGGTAGAACCCCGTCACTCCCCCTTTCGCCGGCAGAGCCCCCCCCAGCTCCCACCCCCCCAGCAGAGCTGATGTTGGAAAATTCCCAACCCGCCGAAGACGCCGTCACCCGTCGTCGACGCCATCGTCGTGCTCCTCATTTGCGTGTGCCGGCCCCCTGTCGCCATCGTCGTCGCCGCCGCCTCAGCCGCCACCGCCGCCGCCGCCGCCGCCGCCGCCGCCGTCGTCGTCGTCGTCGTCGTCGTCGTCGTCGTCGTCGTCGTCGTCGTCGTCGTCGTCGTCGTCGTCGTCGTCGTCAGCGTCGTCGTCGTGTGTGCTTGCCGGCGCCCCTCCTCGTCGTCGTCGTCGTTGTGATTGTCGTCGTCGTCGTCAACGTCGTCGTCGTCGTCGTCGGCCCTCGGGATTCTAGCGGTGGGGGGGGTACCCTCCAACTCTTGGGGGGGGCCCTCCCCCCTAAGGGTTCGCAGCCTGGAGCCATTTTATGGAGCTCTCCCCCCTCCCCCGGTTCGAACATGCGCGAGTGGCCGCACCCCTCACCCCTGATATTAGCCCAGCCGCATGGGCGCGAAGATCGCGCTTCGCGCTGCGCGGTCTGGGCCAGTGGGTTGTCGTTGTTCCGTCTCCTACTCGCCCCTCGTACCTCTCCTCATCTTGCTTCTCTCCAGGGGTTTGGGTTGGTGGGGAAAGGGGAGGTGTAGGACATCTCCTGCACGCAGGTGGTTTCGACCCCGCTTCCTAGCGCGTTCAGTGCCTCGAGGTGCTTGGAAAACAAGCTGCATGTCGCCGTTTGTTAAACCCACTTTGCCTTCCCTCCCCCCCCGTTTCGCTCACCCCGAGGCTGGGCCAGGAAATAGTCCATCTGAAGTCCCTCTCCTCTTCCTCATGCTGCTCAACAGGTGGCTGGCCTTGGCCGCCTCGTGACCGCCCAGAGCCATGACTGGGTTTGCCTGGTCATCGCCAGGTGGTTACCCGTGGCCGCCTCGTGACTGCCCCGTGCGTTGGCTGGCGTTGCAATGGTGCCGTCCGGTGGCCGTCCTGTGGCCGCATCGTGCGCTGGCGGCATTCATGCACGCGTATATTGCGCCACATACATATACACAGAGGCGTATGTAGTTGTACACATATATACATATACAAATAGAAACGTATATATGTGTGTATATATACATATATATATAACTTGAGCGAGAGAGAGAGAGAGAGAGAGAGAGAGAGAGAGACAGAGAGAAAGAGAGAGATCCTGGGGGACGAGGACCCCTGGCTGGGCCCAGGGACCACCGCCCCCCATGGAGGGGCTGGGGTCCCCGTGCCGCCCCCGCATCCCTTCCAAGCGCTCTCCGGGCCGGGAAAGTGTACCCATGTATGTGGACCCCAGATCGCTTCCAAGCTCGGAGGCTGCCAGAAGGGTTTGTAGGACAAGGTTGGTTTCGCTGGACTCGAGGTCCTCCCAGCAGGACCTTAGGCACTCCAGCACGACCTGAGGCGCCCCAGCAGCCGTCGAAATCACCCTTCTTGAACCAGACCTTCTCGCCGTCCTCGACCAGCGCTCTCTGGGCATGGAAGACAGCCCCCAGTACAGCCCCCAGTACAGTCCCCAGAAAATCCCAAAGCGCGGACATATTGTTCGATTTCTGGTCTCCTCTGCCAATCCTGGGGCCAGGAACATTAACAAAGGAGCATGGTCGGAAACGAGCAGAGCCAGATTCAAACCCTGGGCACTCGCTGCCGCACTGTCGCTGCCGCTGCCGCTGCCCGTCAGATTCCGTCCCCTCCTCAGGCTCGCTTCTTTTGTTGGGGGCTCCGGGCAGTTCTGCTGACGGCCCCGGGGCAGTGCAAGGATCCACATAAGCCGAAAGTTGCTTCCCAAACACACGCGTCCAGGTCGGTCTTCCTCTGGTGAGCCGCCCAGCATTCGGGGGTGGACAGAAGCCCCTTCCTGACACGTCGATTAAACAAGTATTTGTTTTCGGTTCTCGAGAGGGCGCCGCGGCCGTCATGCTCCAGGCTTGCGCCCGCCAGGTTTGGGCCCGGGGTCGCCTTCGCTGAGCCACGTTTTGCTAAAGGGGGCTCTGTCCATCCCCGAAGGGTGCTGGGCACCACTGCTCCGCCGCGCCCCCCCGGGGAGAGGCCTGCACCACGGCGGCGACGCGCCGCCGGGTGCGGCCTCGCCCGCGGCCCCGTCCGCCCAGCTGGCGCTCGTGGAGGCGGGGCGGGGCGGGCCCTCGACCTGCCCCCCCCCGAGAGCCCTCCGTGCGGCAGGCCGCGGCGGCCGCCGATGCCTCTGCCGCTGCAGCCTTCCCCTCCACATTCTCCTCCTCCTCCCCCTCCTCCTCCTCCTTCTTCCTCCTCCTCCTCCTCCTCCTCCTCCTCCGCCTTCTCCCCCTCCTCTTCCCCCTCCTCCCCCTCCTGATCCTCGCAGCGGCCGCGGCGGCGGCGGCGGCCGCGCAGCATCTGCCGCGCGGAGGGTGCGGACGGTGGACGTTGGGTGGGGGGCTCGTGGGCGGGGCGCGGAGGGAAGGGCCCAGGCCGTCGGGCGTCGTTGAGAGAAGAGTGCACGCCGGCCGCTGCAGGCAGGCACTCCTGGATCATCAGGCCATCGCAAACATGGATAAAGGGGGCGTTAATTAACGACGGGTCCCGTTTCTAGGGGAAATCGTGGATTTCCGCCGCCGAACGAGGCGGCCCTGGCCGCATTTTGGGAAAGGCACCTCCCCCGATCCATGGATTTGGCGACTGCGCGCCAAATCCATGGATCGCTAATCCATGTTTGCGCGCCCCCGAGATCATGCGATTCCAACAGGGGCCCCAGGGAAAGGGACTTCTGAGACAAGCGATTCCGATTCCGCAGGTCCGCTCGGCTTCGCCCACAAGGTCGCCACATGACGCATTCACTCACACTTTTCGAAGTCTCGAAGGCAATGCCGCGGTCTCAGAAGCCTCTTTCGCTGGCGTCTCTTTTTGGGAAACGTGTCACGGGATTCCCAGACCTCAGCCTACTTCAAGCGCCTCCCTACCTCAAGAATCGATATGCTTTTGCTCTGTGCTGTTCTTCTTCGGGAGGGCTAGGCCCCAGTCCACTTTCTCCGCGGTCCTACTTCATGTCTGTACCTGCGTCTTCCGACCGACGCGTTTTGATTCCGGCCCCCGGGCCTATGCTCTGGCCCCCGAGGCACTTTGAACATGGAGACCCACGGAGGCAAGAAAAGGTTCTGCGGACGGGGCCGAGGGCTCCGGGGGCTTGCGCCATGGCCCGTGAATCCCTCTGGGCTTGCCCTGGTGTAGTGACATGCCCCAACCCGTTCACGGAGCGAGCGTCCAAAGCGTGAGGCCGAACGTGCCTCTCGAGACCAGGAGGTGCGGCCTCCAAATGTCGCGGGTGGTGAGCCCGCAGCGCGACGCCCAGTCTGGAGGCGTCCCCGTTAGCTCGGACTCAGGAGGTTGGGGCTCAACTTGCAGGCCGGAGCCTCCTGCCCAGTAGGTCGCCTTGTGGCCCATGGATTCCGATGAGGATGGAGCGCAGGCCGATACTGGATTCCCTGGAGATTTACACCATCCCGGGCCTGTATCGACCCCCCCCCGCCATCTTCTGCAACAAATACTATGCGCGCACATTTGTTTATCACAAATGATCAAGTGCCAAGAACCCCTTGCAAAAAACGCGACGAAGTGCACACACGCGCCGTCGCGCGCGCATGTCGAATTTTCCAAAAACAATAGGTTTCGTAAGGATTTCAAAATCGAGTGTCTCCACAGCATATAAAGTCACATGGCTTCGTGACACGGGTTTTCAAACAACAGAAAATACATGAGCGTGCGATCTTGCGAAATCTTAAGGAACTATCCTCTATTCAATCTGTTCAGAAAATACTACCTAACGGGCTTCGCGCGTTCGCATGTCGAAATCGTTCGAACGCCCTTGCGCGCGTGCCGTCGCGAGAATCCTTTTGCAAAAAATGGGACGAAGTGCGCGCGCGCGTCGTCGCGCGCGCATGCCGAAATCCTTCAAAAGCCTTCGGTTTCGGAAGGATTTCAAAGTCGAGTGTCCAAAAGACATGCAAAAACAAACGGTTTCGCAACATCAGTTTCAAAGCAACGTGCGCTCGCGCGTTGGGGAAAAAAGGCCGGGAGGTTTTTCAATCCAGAGACTGTTTGAAGGTCGGGAGCGACGTCGGGGTGGTGTGGTGTATATTTATTTACGCATGTTCCCTGGGAGACGATGAAGCATGTATACACCAGGATCCCGTATACACCAGGATCCGTTTTCCTGTGCAGATTCCAGTGCAGGGCTGAACAAATGCGCCGGTGTATATAGAGTTCGGTTCCCTACATATTTTTTCAACGTTGTCATGGCATTCTGCCAAACGTGCCTCTCGCGCCGCATGCCCAGTACACTCCGAAGATGCAATCCCTCTTCGTTGAAGCACTTCAAATTGCACACGACATGTTTGCAGTTAATCGTGATCCCTTTTTATGATCATCCTCATAAGTCACCTGTTCTTGTCACAAACACACGTGGGTTCGACTTTAATGATCCAATTAACCGCATGCCGATGATAATAAAGGGACCCCCCCTTCAGTGTTTAGAGTTGATTATCGTCGCCCTGTACAAAATTCAAATTGGGCGGCGAGCGCTGAGGCCGAACTTCATTATCACCTCGAAACGCTATGTTGAGATAGCAACATCAAGCGATGTTGATATAGCAACATCAAGCGAAGCGATCACACTTTTTCAGGATGTGTCAAGCGAAACCAATAATTTTGGGAGGCAGACTCAAACGAAACGAGCAATGTTCTTATTATTATTATACTTTCCTCTTCTTCTTTTATATTTCTATCTGTCCTCACGCTCGCCTGAACTTTTTTATCCCTGGGGTTGATTATCCATGGAAAATGAAGCACATGAGCTACCCTACACGAGCACTTAAAAAACAATGTTCATAAAGCGCTTGTAAATTAAAATTGATAGATTTGGAACTTTGGATGTTTCCTTTCTTCGTCCTCTTCTTATTATCCTCTTCTTCTTCTTTCTTATTATTCTTATACTGTATTCTTCTTCTTTTATATTTCTCTCTGTCCCCACGCTCGCCTGAACTTTTTTATTTCTGGGGTTGATTATCCATGGAAATTGAGGCACATGAGCTACCCTACACGAGCACTTACAACAAAAAAAAAAAAAAAAAAAAAAACAAGTTTCATGAGAGATAAACCATTGTTGAGGATATTTCTATGAAAACTAATCGCCAAGGATGTCTCAAAACGTGTTCGGCTTGGTCTCCTCTTGATCATCTCTTACTTCGAGATTATGCTGAGGTCTGCTGGGCTACTTTTATTATCTCTCCCTGAACCCCGAACTTTATTATCCCCTAGTGTTTATTCTCACGGGCATGAGGTTATCCTTCGACATACCAGCGGATGTATCATGCCATCACCATCAGGAGGATGGGGGTGTCCTGCATGCGCTGATAACGTCAGCACGCACTCCATCACATGATAGAGACCCCAAACAATGTAGGCGGTACGACAAAAAGGATTAATACTGGGAGTGCCCAAACTACAAAAAGTACAATGGTCACGCTAAGCCTGGCCACGTACACCTGACAAGTGCAAGTTTGCCAAACTGTGGAAGCCGCCTGACAATCACGAACAGGGACCTCCAGCCCCTGGTGAACCGGCAGCCACATCACCTGCGGCGACAGCTGCTTCCGAGGCACCAGCGGCCAAACAACTTGCGCGGCTACGAACTCCGAAGCCTGGCTCCAGAGCCGGACCGACAGCAGGCGCCAACAGCCACGGCATCACAGTAGGCAGACACGCTGCTGAACCGACTGCGGGGCAACCCGCCTCAAGTGGCGCCGGAAGCTCGGACGACCGCAGACGACTACCACAAATAGTAGCCAGACGTGGACGACAACAGGGAGGTGATTCACCTCCACCACCTGCGAGTGACCCAGCATCTCGTCCAAGGCGTCCAGACTAGTCAAGGCTCGACGTGCAAATCAGTCTACAGAACTTGCGTAGCCTTGGCCCAAGCGTGGTAACACGCGAGTTACGAAAACTATATATGCGGCGATTCCGCGCCAAGGAGCGTAAGATGATATTCATCTTAACCAGGGTTGGTCTGGACAGCGTTCGGCTAAACTTGGTAAAAAGACGTTTGCGATACATGCCGGGAATGCAGGGCCTCGGAAAAGCCTGGACATATTATCATGCCGTCGACCGTACTACCTGGCAAGTTCAATCATGAAGTCGAATGCGACCTGATGTTTTACAAACAGGAGCAGAAGGTATTTCACCGAACGCGTAATCGACCGTTGCATGTGATACGGTATTGGAATCGAGATATCGAGATACACGATAAAACTATGACCAGCATCTTAGATGCGTATCAAAAGTGCTGGATGCGATTCGGACCTGTCAACATATTTGTTCTGACGGAGAAGGTGCTCTCAATCATAACACGGCAAAGGCAGCCCTTAAGGCAAAGGGCGTTGTGCTGAGGATGCGCGCGCGCGGACTACACGCTACGACCATTGAAGCCAAAATTGGCATATTACGACACTTACTTCGCGTCATGGAGGCTGAACTCAATAGATTAGACATACTACTTGCGTTCGCCCGATCATTGCATCCGCTAGTGCGTGTTCACGTTATTTAATGACGCATCTCAATGCAACGCACTTTTTGGCCGACAGCCTGCGATGTTACCTGACTTGCCTGTTCTGGACCATGAACGACAGACGGAGACATCCGAGCACGCTCGAGAACAGACTGTCCGCCGGGTAAGCATTAAGGCTACCACCCAAGCCACCGCAATGGCTAGAACGAACCGTGCACTACTCACTTAGACGACCATCGCTGGTCAGCGCTACTATGACGAAGGAGGTTTGGTTGTTTACCATTGTCTCACTACTGCGAAAGGCGTCCGGGGCGGCTGGGATGGACCCGCCCCGGCGGTGCGGAATGACCCTGGCAGGTGTCAACTTATCACGGGGGTTGGGAACCTCGATGCGCAAGTCCAGCACGGCGACGCGCGACGCCCACTGTACATTGAAGTTCTGATCACTCGAGAGATTTGCTCGGACAACGCAGCACTGCGGACTGCGTTGGCATGTGTAGCCAGTCTACCTGCGGGGGGGGGCCCATGACCTTTGGATGCCTGTGCGAGCCGACTATCTCCTGAGGTACACGTAGCTCTCCAGTGCCTCATCAGGAGTTTCTTTCGCATTGAAAACGTAGTTTCTGTCAGGTTGGACACGGGTATTTACGAGCTACCTCCGGTGACGTACGCTGACAGTTGCACGTTGGTGCGCCATGACAATGACGTGAACGTTCAAGACATATTGGCTCAGCGCACTCAATAATCACCCAGTGCCTGAAGTCCTCCAAACCTCATGCGGGCTTCGATCGAGACATGGCGAAGTTCGAAGAATTGGCCCGCGTGCCAGCGCAAGGCAGCGTCTCCAGCGAGGCCCCAGAAGTCGAACCACCGCTGGAAGACGGACTGCCCCCCGCCATCCATGAGGAATCAGAGGCGGGCCTCGAGGCGCGCATTCTGGAAGCGCGGCGCGCAGAACTACAGGACGAAAGGGAACTGTTGGAGGCAACTCCAATAGACAGGCTATTTACTGCACCGGCACAAATTATTGACAACAGCGCGCTGGTCACAGTAGCTCAAGAACCGCTGGGGCGCCGGTCTACACGGGGCAACCCACGGGACATATACGCAGCCGAGGCATATCATGTCCCATTGTGCTCCACGGGCGAAGATGACAGTGGCGGATCGGACTCTGACGAGCACGGGCAATGCGTGGAAATCCGTTTCGCGGCAGAAATGCCAAAGGTAATCTTACCCGAACAACAGCATTGGATATTGGACTTCGGCCGCGCGACCATCCGAGTATACGGGGCCGCTGCAGCTAAACGAGCTGCAGTCGCCAAGGAGGGCGACCTTCTCACGAAGGCAGATGCCCAGGCGAATCCAGTCAAGGTGTCGAAAGCCCTCTGTTCCGAACTTAAGACACGGCTTGACAGCAAGTGTTTCCAGATGCAAGATTTGCCCAAAGCGTCAAACGTCATAACTTCGAGGTGCGTGTATATATATATATATGAGTTATCTATATTGAACTTCGTCGAGAACGGAAAGGGCGAGATGGAACGCACCATCAGCTTGCGCCCGGTACTTTGGGTTTTCATGGGCCTCTAAGCTTTCGACGTGGAAACTATCTCAGGGGCGGCGCGGCGGCCGAGTCAGCGATTGCGCGCCTTCGCGGCAGCGCGCGGGCAGCCGTGGATCATTCTTTCCCTTGACATCGACGCGGCTTTCCTGAGGGGGCTTGCTGATCAGGGGTTCGCCGAAGCAACCGGTGAAAAGGGGCGCGCGGCGTGCTTCGCATGGTCACTTGGCTCGGCATCTGCCTTCAGATTCCCCCCGGGATTCGAGCGCCATGACTAGTCGAGACACTGCTTGCAGCGCCTCAAACCAGGTGCCGGCGCCAAAGATGCACCGAGAGCTTCCTCACTGAAGCCCAGGAAGACCACGAGTGGCCTTGGTCTTAAACCGATGTCTTACGACGAGGTGTTCGAGGCAAGCCCTAACCTTCTCACTGCCAAGCACGTCGATGACATAAACATGGCTGGCGCCGAGGACTCCATTGACAAATGCGTCGAGTGTGTCGAGGATAATTTGGGGGGGGCGTAAACTCAACGAGCACGCATATACTGGCTGCGCCGTGAGATGTGCGAAGGGCAGCGACTGCAATCTTACTCTTGACCAAGATGAATGCAAAACAGCTCCGCCCTATCCAGCATCGCGAGCTCGAGGGCGCAGATTCTGAGGCCAAGGCATCGAAGATGGTTGCTGACATGTTTGTCAGCCTCAGATGGGGTTTGGCGCGCGCCCTTACCGCGCCAGCGTGGCTGATGGCATATGTTGCAGCGCTGCAGGTGTGACGACTGGGCGCGCTTACCAGAGAGGCACAGGCCTGCCTTAAGAAAATCGTTCATCAAGCGATGGCGCCAACGGGCGAGGCCGATCTGCGCAGGAACCCCGGCTTCCGGCGCATGGGCAGAGATGCCGATGACGAAGTCAAAGGCAATGATCTTCGCGGGGCAAGCCTGCTGAGGCGTGGCCGCATGCATGCTGGCATGCCCGTCGTCCACATTTTCGACGCGCACTGCAAGTCTCATCTTATCGCTTGCAGGTCCGCTTGAGCTACTCAGCGGAAACACTTGCAGCGGCCGGCATTTTGGAGGACTGCCACCCTGCGATCGTCGCCCTGCACGAACTCCCTGCAGGACCGCCGGGGCCCATGTCAGCTGAAGGATATGCTTGGGATGGGCGGCCTGAGCATCATGGTCGCCTTGACCATCGATGCAGAATCTATCTTCTTGTCTTTGTCAAGCAAAGACCTGAAGAAGACGACTAAGTGCACACTATTGGGACACATCAGTTGGACACGACAAATGATGGAGCGAGATATCGTGCGTTGTGTTCAGCGGCGTGACACTCGCGATATGACTGCGGATGGCCACACCAAGGGGAGCACTGTCAGAGACATACTCCTACAAGTCACGGGAGGAGCGCAATCCTTCAAGTACAACCTAAATGCTGGCCAGACGAGATAATCTGAGCCCTGTGAGGAGTAGTTATATGCAGGGCAACTTGCATGCGAGGGAACTTGCCTGCAAGGTAACTTGCATGCTAGCCAGCCTGCCGTTGTTGAGCCCGCCTTCTGCTGCCCACCTTGTGAATTATAGCGTTTTGCTGTGTAGCTGGCGGCGGGTTCACGCTTCGTCTCCGGCCCCCGACTCTAAAGGAGGTTGACCAAAGGCGAGAGGTAGCGAGCGTTTGTCCGCGGCCGTTTGTGTTCAAGCGGTCGCCCGCCAAGATATGGCTGTGCCTCGTCGCGAGGCACGCTATTTGCCATTGAGACCGAAAACCGAATCGCTTGACATGGTTCGTTGCTCCCGCGATTCTTTCCTTCTCTTGGGACTACCGCTACTACGGTGTGACAGAGTTGGATACGGGCTTCGCCTTAAGCGAAGCATCTGGTTGGGCCTCCCGACCAGCTTCAAATTTCAGCGCCCTTTTGGCGCGTTGCTGGGACGCTCCGGGGTCCCCGAACAGCGCTTGAATTTATAATATATCGTTGGTCTCCGAAGGAACTTTGCCTGGTTGCCGTACCCGCCGGATTTGTGATGGCCCCGTCGCCGCCCGTCGCCGCCTTTCGTTTGTGCCTGGTTGCCGGTTCCGCCGCTTTGCGGTGGCCCCGTCGCCGCCCGTCGCCGCCGTCGCCGCTGGGCATTGCGTTGCAGTGCTGCGCATCGTTTTGCATTGCTGTGCGTTGTGTTGCATTGTTGTGCATCGCTTTGCATTGTTTTGCAGTGCGCCGCCAAGCTTTGCAGTGCGTTGCATCGCTTCGCATTGTTTTGCATTGGTATACGTCGCTTTGCATTGCGTTGCATCACATCGATTGCACCGCATGGATTGCACCACTCAAAGTTCATCCGCAGAAATTGTAAGAGATCATTGTTTTGGGGTCCGCGCTGGCGAACATATACGTGGGTAGTCACAACCATTCTGGATCCTCGAGGGTCGAGGGCAAGACCTAGCAGGGACGAGGAAGAGGATCAGCGGAAACCTGCCGTGACGCCCGCAGGATTGCGGGACTGTGCCCGCTGTGTTGCGGCAGTTGATGCTCCTCGCCCCCAGCGACCATGCCGGACTGGAGCTCCTCCTTGGCCGCACGCGGGACCGGCTGACGAACGGAGAGCTGAACGGGTCGCTCTTCTTTCCTCCCCCTCGTCTTCCCCCTTCGTCGCTCCTCCTCCCCCATTGGTGCGTCGCTCCTCTTCCTCCTACTCCTCGTCGGTTCGTGTTGTTCCTCGGCGAATGCTGTTGGAGTTGTCCTCTTCATATCTCGTGCGCTGCTGGCCTGTTCTATCGTGTTGATGTTCACTACTTATGTGCTGGGCGTGTGTTCGGTATCTCCTTGGAAGGGTCTCGGTGCTCCCTGCAGTTGTTCAATATCCATATTGCCCCAGACTGGAGCGAAGGTGAAGCCAAGAGGATGTTTGAGCGCCCGCGTGGTGTTATCTTGTCTCCCTCCTCTGCCGCTACCCATGTCTTTGGAGACTCAACTTCCCAGTCTTTGGAGAAGCACGCCTGCATGCGCTGAGAGGTGAAGATGGACCGTCCATGAATCAACTCGCGTCGGCTTTCACCTCCAGTCTGCCACATCCTGGCGAACTTGTGCAATAGCATGACACACATCGTATTTTTCGTGAGCACGAGATTCCCCATGGCAGGCTAGACAAAAGTTACACTACCCTCAGTACCCAAGGAGTTTTTGACTGCTGCCCGCGTGCAGGTACTGCGTGTCCTATCACTGACTTAGCTGCGCCACCCGATCACACGCCTGTATATGCTGAACTATCTGATTGGTCCCCCGAAGGCCCCTGCAGGATCCCAACGTGGGTATCGAGGCATTGGAAATTTAAGGAGGTGGTTTCTGATTTCTTAGAAGATGCCGTGCTCTCAGAGGATGAGTTTACGAGGCTCGAGGAGATCAAGGAGGTCTTGAGGTATGGTTGTCGAGAAGTTCGCTCGCTTGTGTCTGAGAAAAGGGCAACGTCCCCTGAAGAAAAGGTTGTCTGCATGTTGCTTGTTCTTCGCGGAGCTCGTCTTGTTGACCCCCGTAAATCCCCCCGTGGGCTCAAAGGGTACTTCAAATTACGTGAGTGCATGGACCCCCTACGGAGACTGGAGCGACCGCTCTGGATTTGACGATATCCTAAGTCAGCACATGCTCGAGTGTCTTGCTGCAAAAGAAAAGCATGTGCTTGCTCGTGAAGCTCGTGACGCAAGTTTAGGAGACGCCAGAGCAGCAGCAGCACATATTGCCAGAATTCGAATAATGTCTCTCGCATGGCGCTCGACAGACAGGCACATCTTTTTGCAGAAGATTGTAGACTTGGATGGCATCCCGAGAAACGATCCCGATGAATGGGCTAAATTTCTTTGTGGCCATTGGGGGGGGGCGTTGTCAAAGTTGGTACCCCGAACCCCGAGGAGATGGAACAGTTTCTCGAGGTGGTGTCCCCTATTCTCGATGAGGAATACCAGTACCGTGCAGATAACGGGCGTTGCTACCTTTGGATTCTGCAGGAGCATTGGTTTCGCAGTTTTTCCAAGGCCAAGGTGGATTCAGCACCAGGCCCAGATGGCTTACCATGCTCTGCCTCGATTGCTGCTGGGGAGTGGGATGGGATTGTCTATACATATTAGATGTACACATTATGGAGGAGGGGTAGGCGCCTGAGAATTTTAACGGGTCCAGTGCTGCGCTCCTTGCCAAGGGCGACACGAATGACAATGCGAGTGTGGCATGGACCTTTGCGCTGACCTTTTCGCTGCCCTTGTCCACACCGACAATAAGCTGATCAGTTCGTTCATCGCAGTACCATTTGGTGCAGTTGCTGGTGACAAGGCTCACCCTTCCCAGCGGGGATTCCTGAAGGGCCGACAGCTGGCTGACAATGTTACCGAGATGGATGCCAACCATATGATCTGGCAAGGCATGTCTGGCCAAAAAAAGACGTGGTGCTGCGCTCTTCGATCTGAAGGCTGCTTTTCCGAGCATATACCAGCAGTTCAAATTTGGAGCATTACGTTTTCTAGGACTTCCTCGTTATGTCGCTCGTGCCATTGAGTTACCCTACCGCAACTGCAAGATGTATGTTGTAGCCGCTGGGTTAAACAAACCAATTATTATGTGTGAGCGTGGTGTTAAACACGGGTGCCGTCTGAGTGGAAGTATGTTTTGTTTGTGTTCCGACACGGTCATCAAACAATTATACGAACAATCGTACAATCTGCCAATCGTGCCCAGTGCATTCGCCGACGATTTAAGTGTCTGCAGCTCAGATCTTGTCTCTGCCCTACCGCTGCCCTGCAAGACGCTGTGTCCGACGGGGTTGGCCGCGGGCCTGATCCTCAACCTTCCGAAGTGCCAGCTTGTCTTTCCCGATCGAAGGACACTCGAAGAGGCTGGCACCCGATGTAGCGCAGCTGGGATTCGGATACGCCAATTTGCTATATCGTGTTGTGGGTGGTATCTGGGTGCGGGAGTGGGGATTGGGAGTCGTGATGGGAGCTGGGCCCCTGCTCTGACGAACTTGCGTTCTAGGGGCTTACGGGTGAAGAGTGTGACAAAGGGACTTCCGGTCAGCATTATGCGCGTCTTGTTGTATTCCACGTCGCACAATTTCATGCTCCACCCGCAAGAGCCCGTTGCGTGGAACAAGATGCCCGCCAAGTACTCACATGTGCCCCGGGACATGCATATCCCTTGACCGCGTTTTTTGCGCTTGACGAGGTTGGCCACGGAGTATATGCACGGCGGCATGACATCTTGGCGCTGGCAAGCATGATCAGAGCTGCGACCAGCAGCCAAATATTTCATCAGCATGATGACTGGATGAGGAGGGAGGCGGAGGAGCACACCATTCCTACTCTGTGGAGACGGCACCCAGTCGCCAATCATTCGTTTTCAGTTGCCACGAGCGAAGCGTACCACTCGTTCTACTCTGTGTACCAGCTCCTTGACAATACTCCAACATGGATATGCACGCCGTCATTTGCAAGACCCGGATTCGTGCGAATCCGCCCCCGAGTCACGAGTAAAGAAATGCATAGGTGAGCCTTCGGGCAGTATTATTGACCTATGCGTTATGCGTGTAAATATCAGTACGAAGTATTTGCCGACATATTGCATGGCTAGTCTAAATAAGACTATGTATAACGCTTGGGACACGTCCCGTCGGCATAGGTGCATCCCTCACGCGTATCACTTCGGCTGTGGGAAATCAGATGGGGACGATTTGCTCCACTATGATGTGTGTCTTGCCGGCTGCAATATCCTTAAAACCAAATTGGGATTTCTTTGATATTAATCTATGGTAGTGACTCTTTTTCATTTTTCCTCCCGCATGTTTTTCCCGCTGACATCGAAGCTCTGTTCAGCAATTGCTTGGCCCCCGATGCTATACACAATGCCTTCCAGGTATTGAGGGCCCGTGCCACGCCACCATATCCCGCTTATCTCCGCTCTCTCATCCATTCCCGACTGCGCACGGCGCCTCGGCGATCGCATCGTGCAGCTGGGCTGCTGCGTGGTCGGCCACAGGCGCCGCCCCGCTCCCGCCGCAGGCGCCGCCCGTGCCTGGTGGGTTGGAGGACGGAGCGGACCTCTCTCTCTCTCTCTCTCTCTCCCCCCTCTTCGGTGGGTGCGCCTCCTCCTCGTCCTCCTCCGCCTCCTCCGTCGCTTCTCCTCCTTTGCGGTCATCGGAACCCGGGAGACGTCTTGCCGCCAGGGGCCAGGTCTAGGGTCTAGGCCTTCTAGATGGGGTCGGAGTAGATGGGGTCGGAGGATCGCGCCACATCGCCGATGCATCGCCGATGCGGTTCGATGTGGGGCCCGATTTGCTTCGCGTCGACGTCGCCGATGCATCGCCGACGTCGGCGATGCATCGCCGGCGAATCGCCGACGCGTCGCCGACGCATCGCCGATGCATCGTCAACGCATCGGCAATGCGGCGCGATCTTCCGACCCCATCTAGGAGGCCTCTACCAGGTGAAGCGGCGGCCGCCACGGGGCATGGATGCCCCTTCTACGAAGGGAAACGCTCGAGCGAGTGCCAGCTCAGGTTCGACTCGAGCCGCGCGGCTCCTGCACTCTATAGCGCGGGTCCCGACGGCCTCGGCCGTGGACCGGTCAGGGGGGTTCTGAAAAGCACCAGAGCCCCCGACCCCAGGCCCACGACCGTTCCGCGAGGGGCCGGCGGCCTTTGGACGCCAGCGGCGGGGGGGCCAGAGCAGGCTGCTGCTCGAGCCCCAGTTTCAAAGCCGACCGGGCCTTCGATACCTCAGGGACACGGCTGTGGGCCTTGTGCACGCGGAGGCCCTTGCGAGGCAGGGGGGGTTGGTCCCCGCGCAAAATCTAAGCCGGCTGCCGATCACTGCCCGAGGAACACACACGAAGGCAATCCGACGTTAGAAGGTTCCGCCCCCTGTGCCCCCCTGTTTGCCCGACCTACCCGGACAAAAACGGGAAACGCAGTTTTTCCGAACTTGCGTTCGCACGCGCACATGGATCTCACACCCAGAAAAATTGCGCGCAAATGTGGTGCAGTTGCATAGAATCCTTAGATGCCTTGGCGGTTGTTGCTTGTACATTTGTCCACAAGGCTTGTCCGATAACGTATGGTTGAGCACGCCAAGAGCTTAGTGGTTCCCTGTGGTTGCTGTGGTTACTCTGGTGCGAGCGTGCGTGTATGCACGCGTGCCTGTGTATGTGCCTGTGTGAGCGGCTGTGTGCGTGTGTGCGCGCGTGTGTGCAGGGTTGTGGTATGGGAGCGACGGGAGGGGGGATGTACGGCGTGCGTGCGGGATGTGTAATGGGGGCGACGGGCGGGGGAGGATGTGCGGCGTGCGTGCGGGATGTGTAATGGGGGCGACGGGCGGGCGGGATGTACGGCGTGCGTGCGGGATGTGGGATGTGTTATGGGGGCGACGGGCGGGGGGGTTGTGCGGCGTGCGCGCGTGATGAAAAAGGAACAGATTGAGGAGGAGGAGGAGAAGAGGAGGAAAAGGAGGAAGAGGAGGGGGAGGAGGATGAGCAAAAGGAGGAGGAGGAGGAGGAGCAAGAGGAGGAGGAGGACGGGGAGGAGGATGAGCAAAAGGGGAAAGAGGAGGAGGAGGAGGAGGAGGTGGAGGAGGAG